GGATAAATGTAGTTTAAAACATGTTACTATGCCCATGTTTTGTTGAACTGATACAAATGTTTATGATCCAAAAATAGTTGGGGGCACAGGTCTCTGCTGCTGTTATTTTGTGGGTCAAAAGCTGAAAAGTTTGGGAACCACTGCACTTTGGTTCCCAAAGTTGGGCTTGGGACCCAATTATGGGTCATGAAGCACCTTGGATAATCTCCAGAAATCTATTTAAAGGATAATAAAATAATTGCTGACATAATCTTTTCTATATAATTATTACAAAAACACAAAATAAGTATAAATAAGTATTTATATTTGTGTACAAGCTGTTTAGATTGTCTAAAATCCTGTGTTTTTAGGGTTATTCAAGAAGTTTGTGTACTCAGACCAGTAATATTTGGGGTCACAAGTTTTTGCCRTGGATATTTTGTGGGTCAGAAGATAAAAAGTTTGGGAACCAGTGGACTAGACTAACCCACTTGTTTAAATAGGAAATAAATTGATCTGATTGTTTTGCCAACAGCATCTCAACTCGGCTTTCCTGACCAAACTTTCAAACAGCTGACCGTCCAAACTATGAAAACACRTTTTTATTATGATTATTTACATAAAATTAAAACTCAAACAACTGCTTCGACTGAGTAAGGAATTATCTGCCAGGTTAATGGGTTTTACTGGATGTTAGTCGGCCATCACCACGCTACTCCCGGCTACATTTCAGCTAGCATGTTAGCACATGAGCTAACTGTGGAGGAGGAGAGGTTTACTGACGTTTTACTCACCTCGAAACAGCCATGATTTGTTCTCTGAACGTCCACGTCCCGCATTCAAAGCGCAGTCACAAACAAGATATTTTCTTCCCATACATGTGACGTGGTAGCGTCATTAGCCAGTTAGCATGTAGCGCTAGCTAGCTGCGGCCCAGGCCGGGTGGAGCGCCGTCCGACCGGCCCAACTCTCCCGTCTCTACGAAGACACCCAGCTCCGGAWCTCCATCAGGTCTTCGGTGTTGTCCCTCCGGGAAAATACCTCCAAAACAGCAGAAAGCGGAAGCTCGGTTCACCCCTCAGAGCTCCTCGCCGTTAAATATTTAACCCTGATGAGAAATAGTGACTTATTTAGCTGCTCGGCCGGGGAAACCCAGAAGACTGTTTTTATACGAGGAGCCATCTTGCATTTATTCCTTCCTCCATGGCAGGCGGAAGCTGATTGGCTCCCAGCCTCCAGGAGAACCAATCAAAACGCGCGTTAAAAGCGGAAACGGAAAAAAAAGAACTTTAGGGTTTTTTGTTTTGTTTTGTTTTGTTTTGTTTTGTCTTCTCAAAC